TGTCATTAGGCCCAGTTGGTGTCATTGGGAGGAATTGTGCCCCATTGCTGGTGTCATTGTGAGGTATTGTGCCTCATTGATGGTGTCATTGGGAGGTATTGTGCCCCATTGTTGGTATCATTGGGAGGAATTGTGTTCCATTATTGGTGTCATTGGGAGAAACTGTGCCCCATCGTTGGTGTCATTAGGCCCAGTTGGTGTCATTGGGAGGAATTGTGCCCCATTGTTGGTGTCATTGGGAGAAACTGTGCCCCATCATTGGTGTCATTAGGCCCAGTTGGTGTCATTGGGAGGAATTGTGCCCCATTGCTGGTGTCATTGTGAGGAACTGTGCCACATTGTTGGTGTCATTGGGAGGAATTGTGCCCCATTGTTGGTGTCATTAGGCCCAGTTGGTGTCATTGGGAAGAATTGTGCTCCATTGCTGGTGTCATTCGGAGAAATTGTGCCTCATCGCTGGCATCATTGTGAGGAATATTGGACCACCACTGGTATCTTTGAAAGGAATTGTGCCCCATTGTTGGTGTCAATTGGAGAAGCTGTCCCCCATTATTGGTATTTTTAGGAGGAATTGTCCCCTGTTGGTGTCAACGGGAGGATTTGCGCCCGATTGATGGTGTCATTGGGAGGATTTGCACCCCATTGATGGTGTCATTGGGAGGAATTGTGTCCCATTGTTGGTGTCATTGGGAGGATTTGCGCCCCATTGATGGTATCATTGGGAGGACTTGTGCCCCATCGCTTGTGTCATTGGGAAGAATTTTCGTCTATTGTTGGTATCATTGGGAGGAATTGTGTCTCATTGCTGGTGTCGTTGGGAGGAATTGTGCTCCTTCTTTGGTGTCAGTGGGAGGAATAGTGCCCCATCATTGGTGTCAGTGGGAGGAATAATGCCCCATTGTTGGTATCAGTGGATGAAATTGTACCCCAAGGGCCAGATTATAAGGAGCAAGCAAAGGGCTGCACCTGGCTTCCAATCCACACTTTGGAGACCACTGGGCTACACAAATGTCGATATGAAAATCTGTAGCAGCCGGGTGGACTGCAGCCAATCGTACGCAGTCACTGTTTGGGTATCCTGATGGACGCAATAGCAGGCAGGGGGGATCCCTCCCTCTATGTTGTCTAGTGTGAACGGGGGGGGGGGGGAAGCTTAGCCGTAGAACCCATTCCATGGCACAGCCTCTAGAGTGACCCAGTCTCTGAAGACTCCGCCCATGTGTGAGCTGGAGGCGGGGTATGAAATGGGAACCTCGATATTAATAACCACACATCCGAATTAGGAAAAATATTTTAATCATCATTTTTAAAATTTACATTTTGTCGTAGAAAGAGATGAATAAATACTAATGAGTACCCGAAACACGCTGGAGGGAGCCAAGTTCTGAGCTTCAAGGATACCTGCCCTGAAGGAGCCACGGCTGAGCACCTTCTGAAAATACTACCAGCCTGGCTGTCATACTGCTCCTCCGGCTTCCACTATGAGGCGCTGTTCTGGAGCAACTTCTTATCTTCACAATTGTCAACTGTTAGTGACTCAAAGTCCTGAAGCCACTGAGGACACAAGAGCCGGGGACCTGGCATTTCCAGGAGGGGTCAACGATGGCAGCCAACGTACGGGTGGGAGGAAGCCTTCTGGAGTACAGAGCTGACACCTTGTACTGTGTTCTCAGGTTCCCGTTACCCACCACCCTCATCATCCTCACAAATCTCACCCCTAAGATTCCAATCTCCAGCTCCAACTATAATCCAGGAACGTTCCTTCAGACTGAGAAAATGTTTTCTGTTGAAATAAATAAAATTAAAAAAAAAAAACAACTGAGCTGGACCGGCTCATGGTCATGTAGAGAAGGGGGACACTGTAGGTATAACGAGGACCATCCGATCCCCAACCATCAATTCAGGACGTGAAATGCAGCAAAACCGATCTGTGGGCTCCTACATTCCATGGACACCTCTCCTTCCCAGAGACCCTGAAAGGTACCAGAGACCCTAAGAGGTAACAGACCCCATCAGCAGCAATCCCAAGAGGTAACAGAGACTCCACCACCAGAGACCCCAAGAGTTACCAAAGACCCCACCACCAGCAATCCCAAGAGGTAACAGAGACCCACCACCAGAACCCCCGAGATGTTACAGAGCCCACCGCCAGAGGTTCTGAAAGGCAACAGAGACCCCACCTCCACAGTCCATGAGGGGAACCAGAGATACTAAGAGGTACCAGAGATCGAACCACCAGAGACCCCAAGAGGTACCAGAGACCCCACAACCAGAGTCCATGAGAGGAACCAGAGACCCCGAGAGGTACCAGAGACACTAAGAGGTAACAGAGATCGAACCACCAGAGATCCCAAGAGGTATCAGAGACCCTAAGAGGTAACAGAGACCCCACCACCAGAGTCCATGAGAGGAACCAGAGACCCTAAGAGGTACCAGAGATCGAACCACCAGAGACCCTAAGAGGTAACAGAGACCCCACCACCAGCAATTCAGAGAGGCAACAGAGACCCCACCACCAGAATCCCCGAGACGTTACAGAGAGCCCACTGTCAGAGACCCTGAAAGGTAACAGAGACCCTACCACTAGTATCCTCAAGAGGTAACAGAGACCCCACCGCAAGATTCCCCAAGAGGTAAAAGAGACTCCCCTGCCACAGAGCCAGACAGGTAACTGAGACCTCACCGCCAGAGACCCCAAAAGGTAACAAGAGTCCCTGAGACAGCAGAGACCTCAAGAGGTAACAGAGACCCCAGCACCAGCGACTCCGAGAGGTAACCGAGACCTCACCACCAGAGACCCTAAGAGGTAACAAGAGTCCCTGAGAGGTAACAGGGACCCCACCACCAGAGTTGCTGAGAGGTGACAGAGACCCCACCGCCAGAGTCCCTGAGAGGTAATGGAGACACCACCAGAGTCCATGAGAGGTAACAGAGACCTCACCACCAGAGACCCTAAGAGGTAACAAGAGTCCCTGAGAGGCAGCAGAGACCCCAAGAGGTAACAGAGACCCCACCACCAGCGACTCCGAGAGGTAACCGAGACCTCACCACCAGAGACCCTAAGAGGTAACAAGAGTCCTTAAGAGGTGACAGAGACCCCACCGTCAGAGTCCCTGAGAGGTAATGGAGACACCACCACCAGAGTCCATGAGAGGTAACAGGGACCCCACCACCAGAGTACATGAGAGGTAACAGGGACCCCACCACCAGAGTACATGAGAGGTAACAGGGACCCCACCGCCAGAGTACATGAGAGGTAACAGGGACCCCACCACCAGAGTACATGAGAGGTAACAGGGACCCCACCACCAGAGTACATGAGAGGTAACAGGGACCCCACCGCCAGAGTACATGAGAGGTAACAAAGACCCCACCGGAAGATTCCCAGAGAGATAACAAAGAGCCCACTGCCAGAGTCCCCGAGATGTAACAGAGACCCCACCGCCATAGTTGCTGAGAGGTAACAGAGACCCCGCCACCAGAGACCCCACTGCCACAGGCCCAGAGAGGTAACAAGGACTCCACCACCAGAGTCCCTGAGAGGCATGAAAACTAGTCATAGACACCTGAGGGCTGTCCAAGGTAGACCACATTCCCCAAACATCTCTCCAGCCCAATGCTCCCTACACCCAAGCTGGAGCATTGCAGATGTGTGGCCGAGTGTTCAAAGCTTGAAGAGGAATTCCAGGGATGGATATTTTATTGGTAGTTACATTGTTCCAGCTATGACCAATATAAACAATGTACAGTATATACCGTCCCTGGCCAGAGACCCTGGAAATCACGGAATTAGACACCGCTACTACACCGCTACTACACCGCTACTACACCGCTACTACGGTGATCTCCACCAGCTCCTGGGTGCCGAGCTGAGCTGATGCAGTAGGTCAGCCACTCGGCCCGGGCGCCAATCATCCGGTGCTATAATCCCCTCTGTGTACTGGATCCGGTGCTATAATCCCCCTCTGCGTACTGGATCCGGTGCTATAATCCCCCTGCATACTGGATCCGGTGCTATAATCCCCCTGCGTACCGGATCCGGTGCTATAATCCCCCTGCGTACTGGATCCGGTGCTATAATCCCCCTGCGTACTGGATCCGGTGCTATAATCCCCCTGCGTACTGGATCCGGTGCTATAATCCCCCTCTGTGTACTGGATCCGGTGCTATAACCTCCCTCTGCGTACCGGATCCGGTGCTATAATCCCCCTCTGCGTATTGGATCCGGTGCTATAACCTCCCTCTGCGTACTGGATCCGGTGGTATAATCCCCCTCTGTGTACCGGATCCGGTGCTATAATCCCCCTCTGCGTACTGGATCCGGTGCTATAATCCCCCTCTGCGTATTGGATCCGGTGCTATAATCTCCCTCTGCGTACCGGATCTGGTGCTATAATCCCCCTGTGTACTGGATCCGGTAGTATAATCCCCCTCTGTGTATTGGATCCGGTGCTATAATCTCCCTCTGCGTCCCGGATCTGGTGCTATAATCCCCCTCTGCGTACTGGATCCGGTGGTATAATCCCCCTCTGTGTACTGGATCCGGTGCTATAATCCCCCTGCGTACTGGATCCGGTGCTATAATCCCCCTCTGCGTACTGGATCCGGTGCTATAACCTCCCTCTGCGTACTGGATCCGGTGGTATAATCTCCCTCTGCGTACCGGATCTGGTGCTATAATCCCTCTGCGTATTGGATCCGGTGCTATAACCTCCCTCTGCGTACTGGATCCGGTGGTATAATCCCCCTCTGTGTACCGGATCCGGTGCTATAATCCCCCTCTGCGTACTGGATCCAGTGCTATAATCCCCCTCTGCGTACCGGATCTGGCGGTATAATCCCCCTCTGTGTACTGGATCTGGCGCTATAATCCTCCTCTGCGTACTGGATCTGGCAGTATAACCCCCCTTTGCATACCGGATCCGGTGTCAGTAATGAATCTGGTGTCAGTACTGGATCCGGTGTCGGTAATGGATCTGGTGTCAGTAATGGATCTGGTGTCACTGCTGCCCCAGGCTGTTATATTCATGTACAATGCAGTCCAGGGTGTTGAAGGCCTCCTGGAAGTCCTCATCCTCACAGCCGTACCTCCGGTACCAATGCAGGTAGGCCCCGGCGTTGTACATGGTGCGACCTTTACCCACAATGCTGCTCACCAGGTCGGCGCGCTGGAGTGGTTGGCGCAGACGGTCAGGGAGTGGCTGTGACAGGAGGGATCCAGAATATTCTGGGGATCTGCAGAACAAATCAGACAATATTATTACGTCTCAGCTCTGGATTGTCAAAATGGTAATTTATTGTATCTGCATTCAGTGTGGTGGTGAGATCCCCCTCTCTGGACTGGATCTGGTGGTGAGATCCCCCTCTCTGGACTGGATCTGGTGGTGAGATCCCCCTCTGGACTGGATCTGGTGGTGAGATCCCCCTCTCTGGACTGGACCTGGTGGTGTGATCCCCCTCTCTGGACTGGACCTGGTGGTGTGATCCCCCTCTCTGGACTGGATCTGGTGGTGAGATCCCCCTCTGGACTGGATCTGGTGGTGAGATCCCCCTCTCTGGACTGGATCTGGTGGTGAGATCCCCCTCTCTGGACTGGATCTGGTGGTGTGATCCCCCTCTCTGGACTGGAACTGGTGGTGAGATCCCCCTCTCTGGACTGGATCTGGTGGTGTGATCCCCCTCTCTGGACTGGAACTGGTGGTGAGATCCCCCTCTCTGGACTGGACCTGGTGGTGTGATCCCCCTCTCTGGACTGGACCTGGTGGTGTGATCCCCCTCTCTGGACTGGATCTGGTGGTGTGATCCCTCACTGTATACTGGATCTGGTGGTGTGATCTCCTCTCTCTGTAGTGGATCTGGTGTTGTAAGCGCCCTCTGTAGTGGATGGTGGTGTGATCCCCCTCTCTGTACTGGATCTGGTGGTGTGATCCCCCTCTTTGTACTGGATCTGGTGGTGTGATCCCCCTCTCTGTACTAGATCTGGTAATATGATCCCTCTCTGTGTACTAGATCTAGTGGTGTGATCCCCTCTCTCTGTAGTGGATCTGGTGTTGTAATCCCCCTCTCTGTACTGGATCTGGTGGTGTAATCCTTCTCTGTGTACTGGATCTGGTGGTGTGATCCCCGTCTCTGTACTAGATCTGGTAGTATAATCCCTCTCTGTACTGGATCTGGTGGTGTGATCCCCTCTCACTGTACTAGATCTGGTGGTGTGAGCCCCTCTCACTGTACTAGATCTGGTGGTGTGAGCCCCCCTCTCTGTACTAAATCTGGTGGTGTGAGCCCCCCTCTCTGTACTAAATCTGGTGGCGTGATCCCCCCTCTCTGTACTGGGTCTGGTGGCGTGATCCCCCTCTCTGTACTGGGTCTGGTGGTGTGATCCCCCTCTCTGTACTGGATCTGGTGATGTGATCCCCTCTCTGTACTGGATCTGGTGGTGTGATCCCCTCTCACTGTACTAGATCTGGTGGTGTGATTCCCCTCTCTGGAATGGATCTGGTGGTGTGATCCCCCTCTCTGTACTAGATCTGGTGGTGTGAGCCCCTCTCTGTATTGAATCTGGTGGTGTAATCCCCCTCTCTGTACTGGATCTGGTGGTGTGAGCCCTCTCTGTATGGGATCTGGTGGTGTGAGCCCCTCTCTGTGTACTGGATCTGGTGGTGTAATCCCTCTCTCTGTACTGGATCTGGTGGTGTGACCCCTCTCTGTACTGGATCTGGTGGTGTGAGCCCCTCTCTGTACTGGATCTGGTGGTGTGACCCCTCTCTGTACTGGATCTGGTGGTGTGACCCCTCTCTGTACTGGATCTGGTGGTGTGACCCCCCTCTCTGTACTGGATCTGGTGGTGTGACCCCCCTCTCTGTACTGGATCTAATGATCTGGGAATGACACACACGGCCCATCTAGGGGGTGAAACATGTCAGAGGAAGGCTCCGGGGGGAGGGGCTTGTAGGCAGAGATGACTGACCTGTCCAGCAGTGGATGGGGGAGGGGTTCCAGGAGACGCAGCGATAGGCCTGCCTCAGCCTCATCAGTACGGAGTCCCGGGAGAGGAGGAAGGAGTAATCCTGCGAGTTCCGGGCCACGGCCAGAACCGACACGCTGTGGTGCTGGGAGAACGAGTCAAGGGAAGAACCCGGAATATCCAGCAAATTGGACCTTTCCCAGAACCTGGAGAACCCGGAATATACAGCAAATTGGACCTTTTCCCAGAACCTGGAGAACCTGGAATATCCAGCAAATTGGACCTTTTCCTAGAACCTGGAGAACCCGGAATATCCAGCAAACTGGACCTTTCCCCAGAACCCTGTCAGGTTTCCTCTTTTCTGGGTTTCCTCCCTGCCGGGTTTCCTCCCTTTGATTCCCGTTAGCAGCCGGTAAAGCAGCCGATCGCACCGACTTCAATACTTGTGAGGCCGCAGGAGGGATCTGCAGTGTAATGGACCCATAAAGAGGACCTGTCACCGCCCGTGCTTCCATAAGGGATGCTGTTCATAGCTTGTGATAGCTCATAAAGTTGATAAAAAAAAATTAAAGTGCTCCCCTCCCCCCCAAAAAACTGTTATAGGCTGGGGGGGAGGGGGGGTACCAGCAGGACTTCACTTTGGTGAAAGGATACAAGTTGGCCCTGAGGACTGGCCCGAGGAACCGTCTCCAGCGCACCGGACGTCACCTGATCCCACAATGCCGCTCCCCTGCCGGAACACAAATCATACGGATTGTCAGAACAGATCAGCCCCTGACTTTGTTACAATGTACAGCCTGATCACTGGGGGAGGGGAGACTGAGGAAATGCTTCCTCCTACTTCTACAAAGTTACAATGTACAGTCTGATCACTGGGGGGAGGAGACTGAGGAAATGCTTTAGGAAGTGAAGGAGGCCACAGGGTGATCCTCCCGCATGAGAGGGGGAAGCAGCCTCACCTTCGGCAGACCTGAACCGTTTGCAGGAACTTCATGCTGGGCATCGGGCACAGGGACCGAATCAGCTCCCAGGGCTCCAGCCCCAAACTGACCGAGCTGCAAGACAACCGACAATCGTCCTCAGGAGACGAGCGACATTCTGCCATTCCGACACTTAGCAGGCCGATGGCTGACAAGAACAACATTCCACATACCTGGCCTGTGTAACAATCACATCTGATTCACCCTTTTATGCAAGGGGCTGTGTCTCCCTACTCTGTGTGCATCAATAGAAACACACAGCCCCATAGCCTAGGATGGCAAAACACTCCCCTGCCCCTCCCCTCTCCCTTGTGGCTCTCTACACTGTGTGCATCAATAGAAACACACAGCCCCATAGCCTAGGATGGCAAGACACTCCCCTGACCCTCCCCCCCCTCCCTTGTGGCTCTCTACGCTTTGTGCATCAATAGAACCACAGAGCCCCATAGCCTAGGATGGCAAGACACTCCCATGCCCCTCCCTTCTGGCTGCTGGGGGCATCAATAGGAACACACAGCCCCATAGCCTAGGATGCCAAGACACTCCCTGACCCCCCCTTCCTCCCTTGTGGCTCTCTACGCTTTGTGCATCAATAGTACCACAGAGCCCCATAGCCTAGGATGCCAAGACACTCCCCTGACCCCCCCCCCCCCTTGTGGCTCTCTACGCTGTGTGCATCAATAGGAACACACAGCCCCATAGCCTAGGATGGCAAGATACTCCCATGCCACTCCCTTCTCCCCCTCTCGTGTCTTTCTATGCTGTGTGCATCAATAGAAACACACAGCCTCATAGACTAGGATGGCAAGACACTCCTCTTCCCCCTCCCTCCCGCCCCCCCCCCTCCCTTTTGGCTCTCTACACTGTGTGCATCAATAGGAACACACAGCCCCATAGCCTAGGATGGTAAGACACTCCCCTGGCCCTCCCTCTATCTCCCCCTCCCTTGTGGCCCTCTACACTATGTGCATCAATAGAAACACACAACCCCATAGCCTAGGATGGCAAGACACTCCCATGCCCCTCCCTTCTGGCTCTCTACGCTGTGTGCATCAACAGAAACACACAGCCACATAGCCTAGGATGGCAAGACACTCCCATGCCCCTCCCTTCTTCTCCCCCTCCCTTGTGGCTCTCTACGCTGTGTGCACCAATAGAAACACACAGCCCCATAGCCTAGGATGGCAAGGCACTCCCCTGCTCCTCCAAGCGAAGTGTGAAGACAGGAAGTTCAGGGAAGTAGCACTGAGAAAGCAGATGTAAGTGCTGGGGTAAGAATTTTACCAGTTTTCTGGGGAATGTGTATGTTATTGTAATGCTGAGGGCTGAATACTACTTTGATGGTTTTTGGTAAGAAATATAAAGTTCAAACGCAACAATCGGAGGACTCCATCCCAATACGCAGAAGTGAGCAGAAAGACCACTGATAAGAGGTACCTTCTCGTCTTCAGGGAATACACGGGATACAGAAGGCCGGCTAGACAAGAAGCGATGTGCGTATTCATCGCGCTGAGGGACACTACTGGCTGAAGGCCGGAGGAAGAGAACGTTTTCTTTTCAGCTGTGGCGGCCACCCTCTTCATCACATCGTCATTGGAGAAGAGTAGGACCCCATCGCAGTACCTAAAAATCAAGCACACATCTTCACTTACATGTAGAATGGGACCCCATCGCAGTACTACAACACAAGCCCATGTCCTTAATTAGATGTAGAATGGGACCCCATCGCAGTACCTATAAAACAAGCCCATGTCCTTAATTAGATGTAGAATGGGACCCCATCGCAGTACCATAAAACAAGCCCATGTCCTTAATTAGATGTAGAATGGGACCCCATCGCAGTACTACAACACAAGCCCATGTCCTTATATAGATGTAGAATGGGACCCCATCGCAGTACTACATAACAAGCCCATGTCCTTAATTAGATGTAGAATGGGACCCCATCGCAGTACCTATAAAACAAGCCCATGTCCTTAATTAGATGTAGAATGGGACCCCATCGCAGTACCTATAAAACAAGCCCATGTCCTTAATTAGATGTAGAATGGGACCCCATCGCAGTACCATAAAACAAGCCCATGTCCTTAATTAGATGTAGAATGGGACCCCATCGCAGTACTACAACACAAGCCCATGTCCTTATATAGATGTAGAATGGGACCCCATCGCAGTACTACAACACAAGCTCATGTCCTTATATAGATGTAGAATGGGACCCCATCACAGTACTACAACACAAGCCCATGTCCTTAATTAGATGTAGAATGGGACCCCATCGCAGTGCCCAACAAAACAATGACACGTCCTCACTTAGATGTAGAATGGGACCCCATCGCAGTACCCAATAAAAAAATCTAAACGTAGAACAAGACCCTTCACACTACCAGATTCTGCAGGAGTTAACGCCAAACGTTTGATTTCTCATAAAGGCAACATTAAAATAAAAAAATAAAAAGCACAAGATGTCCTCAGTGTTCAGAGCTGAATGCCACCAAGGCCCCCTCCCCCTGACCCAAAGCACTGAACCCTCCCTTGATGGGGAGTCACCTTTCATTGCGGTGTACTGATGCAGAGAGCAGTCATGTGACCTGGTATAAGCAGAGCTCAGGCTGAGAAAGGGAGAAGCAGCACTAGGAGACAGTAGTTGTGTTGCAGTGCTCATATGCTAACATGCTAACATGAACATGTTGACAGGAGAAGAGAGCAAAGTGACACAGAGACAAGCTCATCGGTCTGTTTCTTCTTTTCTTACATATATGTGTTCTATCTACATGTTGATCGCTTGCCTCGAATTAAACTTTAACCACTTGCTGTCCAGCTGCTGTATATAAACGGCTGGACGGTGGCAGTCCAGGGGCGGGTTGCCGTTTATAAACGGCGCCCACCATTTTGGACTGTGCGCGCTCCCTGGGAGTGCGCAGCACCGCGATCCAGTGCCCGCTGTGTCCTCCAGACACAGTGGAACACCAATCGTCATACAAGACCTCTGTGTGAGGTCCCGATCATGTGATCACTGATTGGCCAATCTTCTGACGTCATTGCTTACTACGTGTGAAATCTGTGAATGATCACAGAGGTCACCTGGAACAGGGCCATTCACAACAGCCTTGCACCATGTGACAAGCTGTGACCAATCACAGCTCACACAGTAGTTCTCAATGGCTGCAGTAATGCAGCCAGAGAGAAGGAGAAATGATTGCGTTTACAGCCTTTATCACCCCCCACAAGTAGTACAGTGTCACCATGGTGACTGTACTGCTAGGGTGACAGTATGTATAAAAAAAAATAACATAAATAATATAAAAAAATAAAATAAAAATTAAAAAAAAAATTTTTTTAAATTATAATTTTTGGTTATAAACTAATTTGGGCTATTTTTTTTTTTTTTACTAAAAAGATAACGGAATACATTTTGGCCCAGATTTATGAAGAAAGATTATTTATTTGTAAAATTTTATGAGAAAAAACACTTTTTTTCAAAATTTTTTGACTTTTTCATTTATATAGCAAAAAAAAAATAAAAATCCCAGCGGTGAATAAATACCACCAAAATAAAGTTTTATCTGTCTCAAAAAAATGCTAAAAATTCATATGGGTACAGTGTTGCATGACCGCGCAATTGTCATTCAAAGTGTGATAGCGTGAAAAATGAAAATTGGCCTGGAAGGGGGGAAAGTGTCCGGACTGGAAGGGGGGGAAAGTGTCCGGACTGGAAGGGGGGGAAAGTGTCCGGACTGGAAGGGGGGGAAAGTGTCCGGACTGGAAGGGGGGGAAAGAGTCCGGACTGGAAGGGGGGGAAAGTGTCCGGACTGGAAGGGGGGGGGAAGCGTCCGGACTGGAAGGGGGGAAAGTGTCCGGACTGGAAGGGGGGGTGGAAAGCGTCCAGACTGGAAGGGGGGGAAAGTGTCCGGACTGGAAGGGGGGAAAGAGTCCGGACTGGAAGGGGGGGGGGAAGCGTCCGGACTGGAAGGGGGGAAAGTGTCCGGACTGGAAGGGGGGGAAAGAGTCCGGACTGGAAGGGGGGGGGGGGAAGCGTCCGGACTGGAAGGGGGGAAAGTGTCCGGACTGGAAGGGGGGGAAAGTGTCCGGACTGGAAGGGGGGGAAAGTGTCCGGACTGGAAGGGGGGGAAAGTGTCCGGACTGGAAGGGGGGGAAAGTGTCCGGACTGGAAGGGGGGTGAAAAGCATCCGGACTGGAAGGGGGGGGGGGGGGGGGGGGGGAAAGCGACCGGACTGGAAGAGGGGGAAGCGTCCGGACTGGAAGGGGGGGAAAGTGTCCGGACTGGAAGGGGGGGAAAGTGTCCGGACTGGAAGGGGGGGAAAGTGTCCAGACTGGAAGGGGGGGGAAAGTGTCCGAACTGGAAGGGGAGGGAAAGTGTCCGGACTGGAAGGGGGGGGAAAGTGTCCGGACTGGAAGGGGGGGAAGTATCCGGACTGGAAGGGGGGGAAGTATCCGGACTGGAAGGGGGGGAAAGTATCCGGACTGGAAGGGGGGGAAAGTGTCCGGACAGGAAGGGGGGTGGAAGCGTCCGGACTGGAAGGGGGGAAAGTGTCCGGACTGGAAGGGGGGGAAAGTGTCCGGACTGGAAGGGGGGGGAAAGTGTCCGGACTGGAAGGGGGGGAAAAGTGTCCGGACTGGAAGCGGGTGAAAGTGTCCGGACTGGAAGGGGGGGAAAGTGTCCGGACTGGAAGGGGGGGAAAGTGTCCGGACTGGAAGCGGGTGAAAGTGTCCGGACTGGAAGGGGGGGAAAGTGTCCGGACTGGAAGGGGTTAAATTAAAAATAATAAAAAAGGCGGGACAGATCTCAAGAACATCCGTCATCATCAGTGGGACTTCATCATCAGTGGGACGTCATGGCAATCCGGCAGCTTCACTCTTTGATAAAGCATCAGCATTCATTCTACCAGAAGGACCCTCAGCTCACCTCTGCAGGAAGGACAGGCAGAGCAGGGAGTTGTAATGCTGCAGCGGGGTGTCGCCGGTCTCATGGGGTGCCGCAGTCACGCTCAGG